GAAATTTTTCATGCCAAATGTCTGACTTAAATTGAATATTGATTTTCTTTTCTTCAGTATTTCAGAAAAAAACAATATTAGTTGCTTCTGAGATTTGTATAAATATTGAATAAAGCAGCAACAGAAATTGATTGGAGCTATATTTTAAATATATAAATCTGTACAAAAAAATGCCACCTATTCTTTTAGTGTGCTCTGTGGACAAAATTATCTGTATTTGTAAAGCACTAATACTCTGCAGTGCAAAAACACCTGGAGAAAGTCACCAGTTTTGTTTTTGTTGCAAAGTCTGAACGAAGTGTAACATGTAAGGCCACATGATTAATGAGGAAGATAAATAGAAATAGTGAAGATTTACTGAAAGAGACAGGCATCTCAGGGAAAAAGTAGTATGTGACCATACATTTAAGACTATCATAAAAAGTACATGGACAAGAGAACAGTATTAAGATTTCACACACAGTCTTAACTCAACTTTCTTACATTTTTAAGTACTAAACTTTGCAGTCTTACCATTCTTTACTGTTTTTTTAATATAATAGACTGACAGAAATTATGGCACACAGTATTAAACAATATGTCACGTGTGGTATTTTCCATGGTAAGAAGAAAAGAGATGTTTCTTTGACATTTTACCCAGTTTACTATCAAGAGTCGCATCAGTGACCTACGCTGTCTGGAATCCTGAAAGCTCAGAACTGCAGCTGTATCTGTATCTTCCCGCAAGGTAACTGGGGACTGTTAATACCTATCAAATATATCTTCCAAAAGAGTTCCCATCCAGGTGGTATTTCTGAGCGGTTGAGCAAATGGACGGATAATTTCTTTGGGGACTCCATGGTTAATAAAGAAACTGCAGAGGGAATCTAACATGGATACTATCCCCAAAACCACAAACTGATTGAGAGGCCCTTTTTTAGAGTAATTCTACCATAAACCTTTCTGAGGCATCTGCCTCAGGAAAGCTTTTACTACAGGCCTTAAAATAAGCTGTAGTAAAAGCTTTCTTACTAAGGGAATGCTCATCAAAACTCTGTTTGTTTTTTTTTTTGTTGTTGTTTTGTTTTGTTTTTTGTTTTGTTTTTTTTAAGGAAGCTAGTGGTTTTTTTTAAGTAACCCTCTAATCCAATACTATCAAATGCATAATTACACCATGCAAATTTTAAAGCATAGAAATCTATCAGAAAATAGAATTTTTTACCTCAAATATATATTTAGCCAGATAGATATTTATTCCTTAGTGGGTTTACATCATGACTTAAACCTGTGGCTTCTTGAATACTGTGAATTACAGCCCTTAACATAGATGTTCATTGGGGTTAGACTATAGTTTCTGTCCCTCACATTTCCAATTTTTCAGACTCCTCTGAAAGACCAACCAGCAGGAAGCATTAAGAAAAAGAAACTGTGTTGCAGTTTAGCCTAACTGGCCCCAAACGAGTGTTTTTCTTTCAGTCAGCTCCATGAGTTGTATCCAGGGTGACCTTTTTCTAAGCAAAGTCATAGTGATGGACATAGGTTTAAAGCACAAGTATCTTTACTGTTGCCAAGAGGGAGTTCAAATAACTATATGTAGGTTCAAGAAATCTTTGCTTAAAAAAATGACAGATATTGTACATGAAATCTAACTTCCATTGTTTCCACAAAACAGTCCTCAATAGTTGTATAAAGATATTAAGGAGAAAAAAGCACCAGATACAGCTGTATAGCAAGGACTGGTCAGAAAAGTAAAAGCTCGAGTTAAGCCATCTAATTTGAGATGGAAAACTATGTTCTGAAGCAATCTGAGTAAGGACCTGTACCTTTAGCTTTCTGCTCCTTGATATCCTGTCTCTGCACAAACACTCCGCAAAAAATATTCAAAGGATTTGACTGTCACTGAACTAAACATTCATCTTAGTATTTGAAAAATTGTAACAAAAAAAGAACGAAGACTTGAGGCCAGCTTCTGTTAGTGGAGTGCGTTCGAGTGCATTCAACAACTTAGTTTTAATTGATCCAGGTTTGCACTGTGGCTAATTAAAGTAAAACATGGCCCTACACCAGAGTTTCATAAAGCCTATAGGGTAAAATTGAGAGCCAGACAGCCCAGTGCAGGATGAGCCCTTGGAAGCTCGCAGCAGGCAGGAGTGAGAATGCAGGCGTATTTGCAAAACTTTCTTTACCAATGTACCAGTATTCATTAGTGCTTCATACTGATTCTGCTAACTTAACCTAAAAGGAAAGAGCAATAAGGGATCTTCTGTTGACCCACCCTACCTGTCAACATCGAACTGCCCCACTATGTGGTTATCAAGTACACTGCTCTCACTGTTCAGAGCAAGACTTTTGCAAGGGGCAGAGGCAACCCATGGTGATGGGCAGCCATGAACCACCAACAAGGATAGAGAAACTTGAACATGACTTGAGATGAGTAAAGGCAGCCTTGTGTGCCAACTTTCTTAAAACTGAAAACTAAGTTTCAAGATTTCTTTTTTGAGCAGCCTGTTTTCAATCCATGTTCTTTAAAAAAAAAAAAAAAAAAAAAAGAGAGAAAAGTATGTTCAAATGAAAAATAATTATTGTAGGGGCCACAAACTGCCAATGGAATGCCTCTTTCCTGAAAAGGATGACCTCAGTCCTAAGTGTTTCGATAGCAGAAGTAATTCTCTTTGGAAATGTGGTCAGATCTAATACGGAATCTGCCTTGCAGTTGCAGTTAGCGTCTCTGGCACCATAGTGCATCTTTTCCCAAGAGCCATCAAATTTACTGGTACTTATTTGTTGCACACTCTCAGATACCAGGAGGAATGAGCTTTGTGTATGGCTGTGGTTGATGGATGCTGTTGGGGTGCAACTGGCAGAATGCACGCACAGATCCAGCGTGGCAGAGTCCTGTCCCAAGAGAAAGCACAAGGAAAGTACCTGAAACAGAAATAGTGGATTAGCAGAGAAGGGATAGTAAATTAGTAAATCAACTAATGTTCATACCTCGCTAAAGTTATTGTCTCAGTCTTTCCAAGATACATACAGGTGAAGGCAGCTTCAAAACCCAAAGTCATATCAGCTCAAGGACCCTGGAGCTTAAATTAACATCTCATGAGAAAGTGTATAATATAATCTATTTCTGGTTAAGTAACTACAGGAGTAGATACTTTGAAGCTTGCAGCAGGCAGGAGTGAGGATGCAGGGTTATTTGTAAAACTTCCTTTACCAAGGTACCAGTATTCATCAGATCACTCTAGTGCTTCATACTGATTCAGCTAACTTAACCTAAAAGGAAAGAGCAATAAGGTAAAACTTGGCCAGCACAGCTGATTCATTGGGTGGAAGGTTGCAAACCATTTCCGAGGATCAAGGAGAGAAAACTTGTCAAAAGAGGCTACACATATCAAAAATATTTTTTTATGATTTATTTTAATATATTTCATTCAAATATAACTAATTCAGAGTTAATTAATTTATAGAAATTAAAAAAAATTTTCCCCACCCCAGTGCCATAAACGGGTGTTAATTAGGCCGACTAAGGACAACAGGAATTTGTTATAGTCTTCAGTGAAGACCAAAGTTGGGATTTAATCTAAGAAAGGATTTTTTTTTATTATTGTTTAGGGTTTTTTTAATTTTCCTAAGACAGACTTTGGCCAAAATAATTTTTTCCCAGAATTTTCCATACTACATGTTGTCGTGACTTCTTTCTCTGTATCAAGCTGGAGAAAACTAGACTAAAATGTAATTAAAACTTTCTGGGAATTTAATTTAACATCCATTTTACCATCCAAGCATTTTCTATCATATTTTAATTGCTTGAACTTGTTTATCTATTCCTAACTGAGACACCCTCAACATTGTTTCCAAGGCGTCTGACTTCTACTTATTATTTATGTTGTACTTACCTATGACAGGATTTCTGTTTAGAAGGCACCCTGGTGCTCCCCGGTGTCTAAAATGTGTCTCTGTTGCCTTTTACTGGGAGGAGGTTTGTACTGCAGACTCCCAGAGCAAAAGTTGCATCACTCAACAACCCCTGAGATCGGCTGACAAAAAATAGTAACTTTTCTAACTTTTGGCCGCCTTTATTTGGACTTCTTCAACCAAGCCGAGAGACTTGAAAGGAGTATTATGCACACAATTTATGAGTGTGCAACCATAATTTATTGCACGTAAGGTGCGTAAGGCTGGGGCTAACATGCCCCTTGGGGTGATGTTGGTGCACAGGCAGCTGAAGCCACTTTGCTGGCCCGGCGGTTGGCAAACGGGCAGGGAAGTGCCAGCCCTGGGGTCGTTCCTCACAGTGGGCTGAGCTTTGCTGATTTGCTCCTCTATGGTTTCTACATCTTTCCACTTTGCATTTTCCTCTTGAGTTTAGGATTGTTTCCTATTTTCCGCTTTATATCCGTTCTTTCGCCAGTCTCAGTTCTGTACTCCCGTAGGCTTTTTAGTTCTACTTTTCTGTCCTTCATGAGCCAACGGCCCATGCTACCTGCCTCTCAAGAGCTGACAGGGACTGCTACAGCTCAGCATAATCTTCCCTTTGTAAAAACGGGGGCAAGGGCGTGTGTGGGTCCTCTTTGCACACGCACCCTTGTTCTCAGCACGTAGAGGCTCATTATTGAGCATCATTTGGAGAGAGGAAGAGCAAAAGCCCTTTCATGGGAACGCTGGTACTACCGTAGCTCTGCAGGTGAGGTTCAGAAGAGGCATGGCAAAAAGGGAGACCCCCGAGAACTACCTGCCCAGAGCTCGGAAACAGGGCTGCATGTTCAACCAGGTTTGGAAGGGAGCTGTGGGGAAGGACGGTCCTGCCCAGCCCCACGAGCCGTGCTGGGGCTCGGTGCTTGCCCCGTGTTAGGCCCAGGGGTGATGCGGGGAGGGTGCCAGGGAGGGGAAGGAGAGCACAGAGCTCACCTTCCCTCTCCCCTCCTCAGCTCCCTCCCCTCCCTCCAGCCCTCCTTTTTCTGTGTCTCTTTTCATCAGCTCTTTCTTTCTTTCCTTTCTCTTTCCTGCTGGTTTGGCATGATCCTGTTCCTTCCTTTCTCCCCTTCATTCCCTTTTGTTTCCTCACCCCAACTTCACTTCCTAACCCTCTTTCCCTGCCGTGACACGACAATCTCTCTCCCTTGAGTCATCCTTACTTCCCCACAACGTCCCCTAGCACTCTGACGTCTTTCCCCCTTCCTCCCCCCAGCTCTGACGGACACGGTCTTCTCACCCCTCTCGACCCTCCTCCTTTATAAAGGGATTTTCCTCTTTTTAATCCACGAGCCCCCCGTCGCAGCCTCGGCACTCGGTGCACCGCCGGCACCGCGGGGGGGAAAGAGACGATCCTGCCTTTGCGCCTTCGCTCCCCACGCCGAGGAGGGAAAAAAAAAAAAAAAAAAAAAAAAAAAAGCGGGCGGGGGCAAAGTCCCCCGCGGCTCAGCCCCGACACCGCCCCGCGGGATGGGCGGCCGTGCCCCGTGGGCTGCGGGGCAGCGAGGCGGCGGAGCGCAGGTGGGACGCCGGGCACCGTGGGGTGGGGGACGGGAGGTTGGGGGGGGGGGGTATGGAAATGGCGTGGGGAGCCCCGCCGTGGGCGCGGGGCCGGGGTGCGCGGTCGCGCGGGGCGGCGCGGCGCCTCCGCGGAGTGCGGAGCAACACGCACACACACAAACACACACCCCAGGCAGGTAGGGCCGGCTCCGTGGGGTGGCTCCGTGGGGTGGCTCCGGGTGGTGGCTCCGCGGTGTGGCTCCGCGCAAGGCTCCGACGGAGCCGTCGGGAGCGTGGACGGGTGTTGGCGGCGCGGCTGTGTGACAGCCATCGGGGCTGTGTGACAGCGAGATCGGGCTGTGGGGTGACAGCCATGGGGGCTGGGTGACAGCGAGATCGGGCTGTGGGGTGACAGCCATGGGGGCTGGGTGACAGCGAGATCGGGCTGTGGGGTGACAGCGGGGCGGCGGGGTGCGGGCGGGGGGTGGGGGGGGGCACTGCAGGAATTGGGTGGGGGGCAGCCGCTGCTCCCGGCGCCCGGGAGTTTTCCCCCACTGTAGATCCCCTGCCTCAAAATTTCTGCCGTTCGACAGGTTTTAAGCTTCCCCTTTACTTCTCAAATCGCGAGCGAGAATAGATTCGTACTTTCAGTGCCGGACGTTTACATGTTGCGATTTTAAAACACGGGAGGTGACAAAGGAGAAGACAGCATTCCAACACAAAGGCTCAAAAGATGTGTTTTGCTGTTGTAGCTATCACTTATCCGTTGTTCTCATATAACTTAGAACAGTTTTTGTGACTTGTTTTCTAACTAAATAGAGACTTCTTTAATAGCCCGCATGGCCAAGACCTTCTATTCCATGTACCAAACTACTTCTCGACTGAAGAGCTCCCTGGCACTGGAGACTTGGTGACACTAAAATAATTCTGTGCTCAGTAACCGATTTCCACAAATTGCGTAGCTTTCAGCCACATCATTCATTTCTCATTGTAACTGGGGGTTACAATTGTTGGTTGTTGCATCACAGGCATTTGAATTGGCATGTAATCTTAATCTCGAGTACCTCTGAAATACTTGTTTCCTAAATTCACTGGAATAGACTCTTTAATAACCATCTGAGTTTTCTTTGTACACTGATTCTCAAAAGCATCTTACCAGGTTTGTTAAAAGCAGCCATATTATTGCATTCTCTCCAGAGGTCTTAATGAAATAGCAATCAAAGAAACAGTCAGGACTTCAGCATGGCTTTCCATGCGGAGGGGCTGGTGGCCATCATCGTGTTCTACCTGGCTATCCTGGCAGTTGGGATATGGGCTGCTTGGAAAACCAAGAACACCGGCAGCGAGGGAGATCGCAGCGAAGCTATTATAGTCGGCGGAAGAGACATCGGCTTGCTAGTTGGTGGATTTACAATGACTGGTATGTAAACAATCACCTTTTATTTTTTTCCTAACCAGCGTATAACTTGTCAGGTTTCCATCTGAATGAAGAAGTGTAATCTGCGTGTCGAGTAATGCAAATGAAGAAAATCTATATATACTTTTTTATTTTTCCCAATTGCTGCTAACATTGTTTAGTGAACAGCCACGTCACATCTATATGAAAACAACAAATATTTTTAAATCATACAGGGACAATATATTATATTTCTTATTCAGTGCTTTCATGTTCATCTGCAGATCAGATATATTTGGGACGGAAGTATAGAATTTATATCTAGATTAATAATAAAGCCAGTTTTAAAATAACTGGTATTGTTGCTAAAGCCATCCAAATTGGTGAGTTATTTTTGTTTGATCTGAGTAAAACAAAGTTTTTATGCAAAAAGATGGGGGGGTGGAGGGAGGAGGAGAATATGTGCAGCATCAATTAAGAATAAGTTTCTAAAAGAAAATTGGCATAAATCCAAACTTGTAATTCCACTGATTTCAGCAAACTTACTTTGTGAGTTCTTCTAACTTATTTTGCAGCAGTTTGACAAAATAATACATTACTGTCAACAGTAGTATCGATAGGAAAAGCCTGGGTGAAGGAATTGTTCTTCACTAATTTTGTAAGCAGTGCTGTCTGACTCCCAGAGCTGCTCAAACCAGGAGTCTTATTGGCTAAACAAGATATTCAAAATATGGTCCAGAATCTCAAGTCTTACAGATAACGTATGATATCGGAACAAAAATGCATTATAAGAAGAGTGAATTGGCCCACAATTTTTATTTAAACAATTTAATTTTTAAACATGGGGGTTTTTTATTGTTTATTCTAATTCCTACTCAGGCAAATCCCTTTCAATTGCCAAGTTGGATTTATCAGATTATATTTATGTTTTGCTAGTTTGCCCTGTTCTGGTTTCACTATTATCTATTAAGGAAAAGACACATAAAAATTTGGGCCAGGATTCTGTGTTATTCGATCAAGAGAAATTCCCAAACCCTTGGAGGATCATTTTGCTCATTCAAAGACTGAATATTTGGATATTGAGTAAAGAATGTTTGTAAAAGTGAATAAAGTTTGAATGCGGGCAGATGTTCGACTTCTCGCACTTTGCTGTAATTTACTGTATCACATATCCATTGGCTACCGAGGCACCAGATATAACAAGATTCTGCTCAAAGCAAGAGCTGGCTTGACTGCTTTCTGCTGAATGAAATGTTTTCAAGAGCACTGAAACAAGAATATTTTGAAGAGCTATTGCCTGCCACAAAACTGTAATCATTAGATCAGGGGAGTGGAGACAAAACAAGACAATCCCTGCGCGAGTGGTTATGACTAACAGCTTTGCCTGTGGAAGAAGAAACAAATTCTGGTCACCTTAATCCTAGTTTACAGGAATATTTTTCATAACAGCTGAAGCAGAGATGAGATTTGGAACTGGGCTTCCTATATTGCAGACAATTTCTATAACCACCACAATTCACACCCACACATAATCATCCCGTTTCATGAAAGCTCTAGAGATGGCGTAGTATATCATCTCTGCGGTAGAATAACAAACTGATCCTAAAGCCTTTGTGCAACTAAAACACTCATGGATTTTATACTGTCAAGATTCACGTACTTTCTCACCTCTACCTTCCATAAATATGGCAGTTAAAGCTTTAGATGGAAAGTAAATTACACTTTCAGTTTTGGGGAACCACGCCTGGCACAAAAAGTTAGTTGTGGGCATAAGTCTACTGAACCAGGGGTTAGTCTGAGTTCTGTCTCAGTGAGGGTGATTGGGATAGATAGTTTGTAAAGCCGTAACAAAATAATCGCTGAAGTAAGGTGATCAAAATCCTCAATAATTTTTACTAAATCGTCACATTATTCAAGGGCATATTTTCTTCTTTAAAAATGATAGATGCAGATTTTGCACCTCATAGCCATGCCTCCAGAGATATATTGCTATTCCAACATAGTCTTTATATTTTACAGCTTTGATTGTCTAAATATGAATTAAAAAGCGAAGTCCTCCCCATAAAGTAAAACAATAAAGTTTCAAAGATCTCCAGAAAGGATATTGTTAGTATGGACATGAAGTACTTTGGGTTATGAGATAAGGCCTAATTCTGTCTTTCTTGCCCAAGACAAACACTACCACATTCTGTGGGCATTGGCTCCAAAACCAGCAGCAATTACTAGGGCTACTTGGTGGGGAGGATGACAGAACTCAGCCAATAAATTTGAAATAAAAGTACAGAGCATAATCATTGTGACTTCATAGGGGTGGACTGAAGATTCTTCAGTAATTATAGTTGATTTTCTAAATGGCATTGAAAAGCCTTAAAGCAAGTGCACTCCCTATGAATAATGGCTGTGGACATAATTGTGTGTACTCCGTGATCCCGAAGAAGCAGCTGTACCAACTAGCTACTGAAACGCCTAAACATGACGCCTGTTGAAGGCTGAGTGTCTGCAATTATCAAAATAGAAAAAGTGAGAAGCTTGAATCGGGGATCGTAGCAGCTTGCATTAAAATGAACTAACATAGTACCATAGTAAACATGCCTTTAATTTGGGTATCATTTTTACATACTTACAGTTAAAATGATGCATTAAATATTAATGCTTCTTAATTTGTGGGTGAAATTCATAAGAAGTGGTATATGTGACAAACTTGAGTCTATTCTAATTTCGGTGATTGAGTTTAAACCCCAAAACCCGAAAGGAAATATTTGAGGTGTCATAATCAAATGTTTACAAATGTGACCAAAAAAGGAAATAATCTACTGATGTCATTTTTTCATTTTAGTTGGATGGAACTACATATCATTCCACAAAAAAAAAAAAAAAAAAAAAATAGAAAATTATATTTTTCTGTTTTCCTTAGGTCAGGATTTTCATTTTACAGAACTTGATGAGTTGATTCAATAATTTGAGTGGTCAGACAAGGGATCATTCACAAAGAAGTGCCAAAAAATCTGATTTTTTAATATAAATCAATATATACAAAGAAATCTGAGATTAATTTCTGTGTGCTTCATATGAACTATGAGCAGAATTTCTCTACATATCCTCAGTATTTGTCTGATCATTTTTTAGGGTACATGTTTTAAATGGATGTTGGCATTTGCTGCATTTATTGGTCCTTCAGATGGCAGGCAATGAAAGGATTAAAATAGATTACCACATGAGTGTTTCCATAGATTATTAAATTTTATATTCCTTTGTCTGATTTAGAAAAAAAAAAAAAAAGAATTTCACAAAAACAGGTATTAAACAAATGTTAAATTGTGGCTTAGCAAACTGAGGATCAGAAAATTAATATCTAAGGTTGAAATCCCATCCTATCATATGTTATTATTCCTTTTCTAATGCATTTACTGATGTCCATATACATGCTGACTACCCATTCTCTCCCTCAGAAAAAGACATATAGCACCTTCCTAGAGAGCTGGGGTCCTTGGCAGATGTTCCAGTAGAGTCATGTGCACACAAAAATTAATCAGCAGCTGTTTTTCAACCCCCAATCCAGAAATCAAGAAATCAAAATGAAAATAAGTGCTAAATCCTCCATTCCACTTTACCCAGCCATACTCTTCCACAGGGCATTGTTCCCTTTCATTCAGGGGAGGGCAATGGCTTCTGCAAAGTCACACAGAAGTGGTGACCTCATCCCCCCCAGAAAAAAAGTAAGGGAGTTAGGCACAGCGTTGAACTGTCCCTTGGAATACATCCACTACCTCAGTAGCAACCCCAGGCAAATCAATGTTAGACATTGAAGCCTTCTTGCACCACACCTGCAGCAATGCTGGACATCCGTCCTTGACTATGGAATATTATTCACCATCTGGAAATGGGTATAATTCATGTAGAATTCATGCTCATGCTTTTTCCAGGGAAGGAGACAAGTACAATTCTAAGTATTTACTTTTGTTGTTGTATACAGGTGCTTACAACCTATTCCATAAATCTATGTTGCTTGAGACACAATAGGCAACATGTATCCCAGGTAGTCATGGACTCAGTGGTCAATGTCTCAGTGTCCAGGTGGACACTCCAGTGGTATTCCTGAGGGGTCCATACTGGGATGAGTATTATTTAATATCTTAGCCAGGGACATGGACAGTGGGATTGAGTGCACCCTCAGCAATTTTGCCTACAACACCAGGCTGTGTGGTGCGGTCAACACACTGGAGGGGGAGGGATGCCATCCATAGGGACCTTGACAGGCTGGAGAGGTGGGTCCTTGCGAACCTCATGAAGTACAACAAGGCTAAGGGCAAAGACCCCAGCTTGGGGCAATCCTGAACATAGATACAGACTGGGCAATGAGTGAACTGAGAGCAGCCCTGCAGGGAAGGACTTGGAGGTATTAGCGAATTGAAAACTGACTGTGAACCGGCAATGTGCATATGCAGCCCAGAAAGCCAACCTTATCCTGGGCTGCACCAAGAGAAGTGTGGCCAGCAGGTCAAGGGAGGGGATTCTCCCCCTCTACTCTGCTCTTATGTGACCCCAATGGCAGTGCTGTGTCCAGCTTTGGGGCCACCAACATAAAAAGTTCATGGACATGCTCAAGTAGGTCCAGAGGAGGCCACAAAGATGATCAAGGGGTTGGATCACCTCCCCTGTGAGGACAAGCTGAGAGAGTCTGGGTTGTTCAGCCTGGAGAAGACAAGGCTCTGGGGAGACCCTATAGCAGCCTTCCAGTGCTTAAAGGGGGCTACAGGAAAGATGGGGAGGGACTCTATCAGAGAGTTCTGTAATAAGACAAGGGGTAATGGTTTTAAACTGAAAAATGGTAGCTTCAGATTAGATATAAGGAAGAAATTCTTCATTGTGAGGGTGGTGAGACACTGGAACAGGTTGCCCAGATAAATTGTGGATGTGCCCCCGCTCCTGCCCCGGAAGTGTTCAATGCCAGGTTGGATGGGGCTTTGAGCAACCTGGTCTAGGAACTAGATGATCTTTAAGGTCCCTTCCAAACCAAACTATTCTATGATCCTATGATTCCAGTATTCTGTTAACCAAAGTATCGTATTCCCACCTAGCTTAATTCACACTGTCAAGGGGCACAAAATCTCAAATGTCTGACAACTTTTTAAATAGATTCTGTATCCCTGCTCTTCTGATCAATAATCATCGTTCACGTATCTTCTCCAAGTGGGCATCATTCACATCTTGTCTTGTCTCTACAGTGCACAATAGACCTTGATACCAAAATATCTACCAATAACAGGGTTCCTTGGGTCACATCTTTTGTTGCAGACTTTCTCTGCATGCACATCCCTCTTACAAGCCCATTATATTATTTCCAACAACAGAATGCTCCATTCCTATGCTTCAAAATGCTGAAAGGGGGACAATTGTAATGCTCTGGTTGCTGGAGATCTTTTAGCATTGAGTTAAAAAAAAATACCCTCTGGTAGTATTTGAGAGATATTGCAGTTAATCAGAAAAGAGTGGTCATTTAGATTTTAATGAAATTTCTTTAGGAATTTTAATTCAGTTTTCTTCATTTATCTTTACTTCCAATTGTTTGTCTTAAACACAAAATCTAGTTTGCTTGTATGATGGTGGATGCTGGGAAAATTCTGAAGAATTCTTAAGGAAAAGAAATTTCTTACAATTGTGAATTTTTATACAGAAAGCCTGGACTACTCTTATATGAGAAGGCAAAGGCTTCTGAGGCAAATCAAGAGAGTGTTACCAAAAACCTAATACTTATAATGATCTACTGCCCTTGTTCTAACTACAGGCCCAGATTCATAAAATGTACTCATTGTAGTTTAGAGAAAAATCAATAACTTTTTGCATGGAATCTGCAAACAGGAAGAGATAAACTTTATTACATAATTTGTTATGAATTATGTTTTCAGATGTAATCACGATACATTTCTGTGTTGGAGATATTCTTTTATACATACTGTAGGTCCTAAAGTCTTAAGCGTAGAAACTTCCCTTCGAGGCAGAGAATCAATTCATTAAGAGTCTGAGGTGGGTATATTAAAAATGCTGCTGGTTTTTAGATAGGTAAAATCAGAAATATTACAGAAAGCACAGTTCAATTCTGGAATATGTCTTCAGGAAGCACAAAAATAAATTAATCAAAGTTTAGAATTTAAATAACAACAGAAGACCATCACAGCCCTATATGGAAATACAGTATTTAGGGAAGTCAGAGTTTACTAAATGTGCTTCACGTAGCCAAAATTTAAAATTTAACAAGGTTTTAAGGGTAATTTTTTCATGAAGGCCCTAGTAAATGATCCATTCATTAAGCGCTTCTCTAATTTAAATACTTTGAGTTCTCCCGCCTTGGATGGGTTTATCACTGTATGTTTATTCTTCTTCAGATTCCCCCTTACATCTCTCCTTCATTTGGACTAACACAAAGAAAATGGTAATGATGTGCTTCATTCATGTTAAACAAGCAGCAGGGGACTCAGCCCTCACATCTTCACTGACTACACAGACACTTAGGCACCTTGATGATTGTCTCAATCCATCTGACTTCTTTTTTCGTATGCTGAGGTTGTAAGTTCTTTGAATTTGGACTGTCTTTTACAGAAGGATGCCGTGTCTGGCACTTGTACAGTACATATAATTAAAAAATAACAATATTATAAGTAATGACAATTTCATTCTACAATACAGGAGGTTTTGTTTCTTTGTGTGCATTGAAGACCTTTCCACCTCTTCTTTTTCAGCCACATGGGTTGGAGGAGGTTACATCAATGGGACAGCAGAAGCCGTGTATGTCCCTGGCTATGGTCTAGCTTGGGCTCAGGCACCTATTGGATATTCCCTTAGTCTGATTTTAGGTAAGGAAAGAACTAAAGCTAATAGTCTCTCATTTTAAACAGTTTTGATGATAAGTCCATCATTTGAACTGAGACAAGTAGGATCTGATAAAAGGGTACTGAGGTAAACTGGATTCCTTCTGCTGATAGGTTTGACCATTAAAAAGAAAAGATGAAAATCACTATAGTTTGTTATCTTAAGTATCCTGAATGCCTCGGCAAGACCTATTTAATTATTACAACTGTAGTGTTCTATGGAGGTCATGATAAGAAAGGTTTTGTTGTGGGATTTAATTTTTTTTAAAATTATGTATACTATGGTTTATACATTCTGGTTTTCTTAAAGTGCCTATATGATCTGGAATATGATAGTATCAGGGCACCTATAAATCTTGGAATTCAAGAGTGGCAAATATCCTTTCAGATATAAGCAGAAGTGCTTACAGATTTTTACCAAGCATCTAAGTGTTTAATTTTGTGTAAGAAGGGTGTAGTAGAACTGGTCTATTTCCTTAAAATCGGACCAAGCATCCTCTTAAATGTGGTACAAAACTCCAAATCACATGTCAAAATGCAAATACACAATCCTACTATATGCAGGGTCAGAGTGTAAAATACAGGCAATATTATAATCTTTAATGCTGTGGCCTCTAATTCTTGAAATGTAGTCTCAGAACTTCCTTACTTTTCATAAAAAATAATAGCAATACAAAATTTCTAACTGTGTCTCAACCACATGAAACAACTTCCAACAAAAGTATGGCCTTGTGAGCCATGATGAATATGCAACAAAGTTGTTAACTACACCCTCTCAGTTTGTGAACAGATCATGTCCCTAATGCAACTGGTGATGCAACCATTTAAAAAGAATGTTGTTACAAAAAGGATCCTGTGTTCTTCATCTTTCATTAATGTGACAGGTGTATTAGCCTTTCTAATAGACCTCTCGGTCTATTCTGAGTCTTTTCTCATGGTCCTCTCTAGTCTGTCCCTTTGTTTCCTTTGATTGTTTATTCAAGTTTTCTTGACACTTATTTTTTCCAGTACTACTTGGTTGCCCTCCTGACTCCTTTTTCCCCTCAGAAATGCTTTCCTATGGCCTGTCCCAGTTCTCCTCTCTTCCCAGGCAGAAACCTTCCCCACTGTAGATGTTCCTTCCTCTCTGGCACATGTGGGCCAGCTCCAGTTGCATTAGCAGTTCCCATCCCTGACAGCAGCTCTATTTCCTGTAAGGAAAATAATAACGGTAGATGTCTGACTGGTGGTCAGCTGATGTCATTATGATGTCATGAAGGTCATCATCCACTGATGTCATTAAGCAGTCGTCAGGATCATAGCCACAAGGATCTTCCTGAATCTTAGCCTCTGTACAATTGACACAAATTAATAATAGCCCAGAAAAGGTTGAGTAAGCCTCTACCCTCATTTCCAGTTGTTTTTAAAGATATGCAGACTTTTTTCCCTGGAAATTTTAATGGACACTGCAGAGAACAGAAGTCTGTATCATGTGACCATATATCTGCCATATATCTCTGCAGAGCAGAGAGGAAATAATTTCTGTGACATGATCTGTACATGCAAGTTGGGGGGGGGAGGGGAGGTGAGGAGGAGGTGTTTATCCTTCTTTTTTTAAAAAATAACCAAAATTCTAAATACATGTCTAGAAGACATATTACTGCTTCAGACGAGAAGGATTTAAGATTGATATAATATCCCTGTTGGTTCAATGTTGTGCTGCATACCACTTTTCCTAATTTTTCAAGCAATTTAGTTTTAACAGTTAGAATATCTCCAATTTCCTTTGACAGATGCTTGAACATCCTAATAGATTATAATACCAGTGACTCTTTTTCTTCTTTTACTTGTCTTTTGTAATGATGACATAACAAGTAGAATAGGAACAGGGTGCAAGACCAATCCAAGAATAGTTAAAAAATGCTGGAGTTTATGCATCTAAACAGCCTGCCTAAAGATAGCATTAGCATAAGCACTATAAATAAATTGTGATTCGTAAGACAATACCTTCTGTTCAGGGAACTTAATGAAACAAAGAAATATGAGTGATTTAAGGCAATATATAGAAATGTGGGAAATCTGTACCACACAATGAATACATTACATATTTTGTGATGAAGAACCAAACTAAGGGTCACAAAATACCGCACTGTAAATTTTACTGGGAACTGACTCATTTTCCAGGTTTTTTGTATTGTACCTTATATATTGCATTTCAGCAGTTTTACTGTGGTAGAAGTCTACTTAGTTATAGTCATGTGTAAATCTCAACTACACAGGTTTCCATATAAGGGCTCTTTCAGCTTTCCTGAGATAAGTCCTTTTTTTTTTCCCCATCCAGAAAGAATTTGAGGACTGTACATTAGAAAGGTGAGGCCTCTGCACATTTGTGTGCACGTCCAGCCCGTACACCAGCCAGGCAGAGCGGAATTGTGGTACATCAAAATTCCTGCACATGCATAAGTGAAACAAGTGTACGACAAATGTCGAGGGAGTCTGACACCTGCAGAGCCCAGAAGGCATCTGAGCTACGCTGCAGGTGTAGTAAGGCTGATTTAAGCATACACAATAAATCTGAATTGTCCTGAATCAGATATGTTGTGTGTGTACTAAACTGTGTGTGTACTAAACCATGTGTGAACTCATGTTTCTGATCCAGGAATCCCAGACAATTTTATTTTTAGAGTAGGACCATGTGAAAATTTATGCTGGATTCCGCTCTAAGAATTACCAGGATTAGGTAGAAATGCCATTCCCTGAGGCTGATCCAAAATTAGACAAAACTCTGAGAGCATCCATAATGGCAGATTAAGTAAACTGAACTAGACAAAACAAGACAAACTTATTTTTCAGTATCAGATCACACATGTTAACAGTGCAGATATGTTTATGTAAGTCTGTAGACAGATGTAAGGTAAGAATTCTTAGAGGATATTTTAACTGTAATTATTTCTTTAAAAAAAAATTAAACAGTAATACTGATATTTTTGTATCCTTAACTGACAATCGGTGTTTCACCCCTTAACAGCAATGCATTCTCCACTGCAGCTGGTGTCTTATGCTACTTTTCTTTTCAGGTGGCCTTTTTTTTGCAAAACCTATGCGATCCAAAGGCTATGTGACAATGTTAGACCCTTTTCAGCAGCTTTATGGAAAAAGGATGGGAGGACTACTGTTTATTCCAGCTTTAATGGGAGAAATGTTTTGGGCTGCTGCCATCTTCTCTGCCTTAGGTAAGGAATAAGCAGTATAAATATTAATTTATCACAGGTGGAAAGGATTAAGAAAATCAGTAATGAATTAAAATTCTGGCTTGAAATGCTAACCAGCCTAGCCAAATGATTCATCGTGTGACAGTTCTCAGACCCATGGTAACTAATAATTAAACCTGGTAATGGTACCCCATTAATTATTTTGGTAATGGAAAGACATTCAAGGTGTCTATTCACTTTCAAATACCTTTAAATTGTCACTTTTTAAAGAGCATGGAAAGATTTAGCAACAAATTCCCTTTAATTGTGAGGGTAACATGAGTGATTGCAAGTGTCCCTTTTGTGTCAGGGCTGCCCCAGCTTCTCTTTTGCACCACTGAGAACACAGAAACCAGTCAAAATTACCCTTAAAGATCTGAGACATTATTGCCAATACATCTAAACAAAATAATCCTTTGCATATAGGAGACATATACAGAACTTTCCATAGTACGAATAATAGAAGTAAACCAGATATTGATCAATAAATTTAAGTATTATTAAATTCTAAATGGCTTTCTACTTGATAAAATGAAGAAAATGCATCAGATTCAAGAAAAGATTCAGAGAATTAGTGGAACTATGACTCAATAGAAAATCACCCAACTACTCATCCAGCCCTGAAAAAGCCATCAGTTTCCAGGGTTTTTAATTATATTTCAGGACTGAATTTAGAAATCTCTTCAAGAACTGAGAAAGCTCTTGAGTTGAAGCACCTGTAGTTGACTTTTACCAGCTAATCATACTCATAGTGCACATGCATGTGGTAATGCTTTCTAGCACAAGCTATTTTAAACAGAAAATAAATTTTGAAGGTACTCTCCAACTGTGCTGTGATGAACTGCAAAGCAATGGGGAACTTGTTTACCACAATTTCATCACAAAACCCTTAACTAAGAACAAATTACATGCTGAGGTGACGGGAGTTGAATAACTTGAAGAACACTCTAAGTATCTGGAATATACTTTCTTTTTGATTGAGGACAAGGTAATCTGTGATATTTCAAAGCAAGCGGTGTGAATACCTTTCTAGTAGTTTTATATTAACAGCTGAACGTTAAAGACCATCAATGATTTATAAAGGTCATTGCAGGTTTTGATTTTAAGTATTCTGTGAATAATTTATTTATATTATACTTCCTAATTTGCACACCTATCCTCACTGATGAATATTTAATCCCAGTACTCTTCACTACACGATCTTCCTCATGAGTCCTTGCTTGGGAGGGTTGTAGAATGGAAAGAAAGGTTGTTTGTGAAAGAGGTCTGAGCTTGTAATCCTTAAGCACATGAACACTGAAGTCTCACTGTACAGCTAAAACCCACCTGGCAGCTCCAGCAGCTCTTATATATCACACATCATGTTGTCTTCTACTGCCAGAACTCTTCTACATATGTGGTCGAGAATATCCAGCTACAATACCTGCAAGCACTAAAAGTTATTGCAAGAAGTTTCATATAAATCATCCTAATTAGAAGGAGAGGATTTTTTAAAACATGATTTTAAAACACTGCAATCATGTGAAATAGCTAATACATCTAAGGGAGATGTATAACCATCCTGATAGCTGCTGGAAGGGCAGTGCAGGAGGGCACAAGCGATTCGGGAGCTTGCTTGAGTGCACTGACAATAACTTCAGGTTCGGAAACATTTAAATAGACTCAACAGACACAGTTTCATGGGACCTTATGGGATGCATCCTGCAAGCGCTGTGGGAGCAAGCTGATAGCATTGCAAAGACATTCTCAGTAATTTTCTGAAGACTGTGGTGATCAGGGATGTTCCTGAAGACTGGCAGAAAACAAATGTCATTCCCATCTTCAAGAAGGGCAAGAAGGACAATACCAGGAATTAAACACTGGTCAGTCTCATCTCAATCCCTGGGATGGTAGCAGAGCAAATACTTCTGGAAACTACTTCCAAGCAAGTGAAGGTCAGGAAGGGGACTGGGGGGAGTCAGCATGGATTTATGGAGAGGAAATAATTCCTGACATTTTCTATGATGAGCTGACCATCCTGGTTCATCAAGGGACAGCAGGACATGTTAATTTCAAAATGGGCTTTTTACACCATCTCCTGTAATATTCTCATAGACAAACAGATAAAGTACAGGCTAGAAAAGTGAACAGTGAGGAGCATTGAAAACTGGCTGAACTTCTGGACTCAGAGGGCTGTCACCAGCAACATGGATGCCACTGGGTGGCCAGTCACCTGTTGTGCACTGAAAAGGTCAATACTGAGTCGTGTACTGTGTAACGTTTTCGTTAGACTTGACTGATGGGATCAAGTGCACCTTCAGCTAGTCTGCAGAAAATAAAAACTGTGATAAATTGCTGGTAGACCAGATGGTTGTACTGCCATTCAGAAGGACCTCAGCAAGCTGCAGAAATGGGCCAAGAGGAGCCTTATGAAGTTCAAGAAAGGGAAACGTTAAATCCTGACTTGGGGAGATACACCCTGATGTCCCAGTACAAACTGGGGGCTGACCAGCTGGAAGGTAGGGTTGCAGAAAAGGATCTGGGAGGTTTAGAAGGCAATGAAGTTGACCATAATCCAGCAATGTGCCCCTGTGGTAAAGAAAGCTGATAGCATCCTGGGCTGCATTAGAAGGACCATTGCCAGCAAGTTGAAGGAAGGGATTCTTCACCTTTATTCAGGACTGGTGGGACACATTCGGAGTGCTGGATCCAGTGCTCCCCAATGCAAGAGATGTGGACATAATGGAGAGAGTCCAGTGAAGAGCCACAAATATTATTAAGGGGCTGGGGTATCTGACATATAAGGAGAGGCTGAGTGACCTGGGACTGTTCAGCCTGGGGAAAAGAAGATTCAGAGGTATCTTATCCATCTGCATAAATACCTGCTTTGGCAGTGGGGGGGAACAGAATAAAGAAGACAGAGCCAGACTCATCTCTGTGCTGCCCAGTAATAGGACAAGAGGCAATGGGCATGAACAGAACTACAGGAAATTCCATCTGAACTTAAGAAAAACTTTTTTTTTTTTTACAGTGGGAGAGGTCAAACACTAACACAGGTTGCGTGGAGAAGTTGTGGAGTCTCAGTCCTTGCAGATAGTCAAGACCCAACTGAACATGATCCTGAGCAACCTGCTCCAGGTGACACTGCTTTAGTAGGGACTTGGACTAGACAATCTCTAGAGATGCCTTTCAGTGTCAGCAATTCTTTAATTCTACAAGCTATTTGTGGAGACTGACTGGTCAGCTCAACATTGTGGTTTGTTTTTTAAAAATTAAATCTGCTTGATGGTACTTGGAAAAATTCTTGGTTTCTAGGTTGACAACGGAGGATGGATTTTACAGTTTGCAAAGAAACCCACCTTTGCCCCATGCAAACAATTCGAGGGCACTTTAGAAGGGTCAGTGGGCTATTGTCCCTATAGCTGGTGTCTCCTCTACCATTCCTTCCTTGGTCAAAAGGGATTAGCTCAGAGCATGTGTGATATGTTGCAGCAGACCTCTCCTAGGCACAGCATTTACTTCAGTGATACTTGTCCCCATGAGGCTGCAACTCACTCAGGGAAGCTTCAGCTGCCTGTGTATGGCTTCTTTTCCCAGGGCAGAACAAGAGTGTAGTCCTTACAGAGCTTGAGCAATGTAGGGAAATGCTGTCAGGACCCTTCCCTGCTCCATTTCATAAGAACCTGCAAAATGACAGCTGCTAAACATAGACCAACAGGAGCATTCCTTTTCCCACTATCTTCAAAGGTGCTGAAGGGATGTGCAGAAAATCTTCATGCTGTTGCTGAGTGTCAGACCAGCACCTGTATATCCAATTTAACAAAGGTGAGTCTTCTCATCAGACATGCTGTGACATACACTAACACATAGTGCTTTGTTTTTCCCTGTAGGTGCCACTATAAGTGTGATCATTGACATTAATGTCAACATTTCAGTCATTATTTCTGCCCTGATTGCAACTATGTACACGCTTGTGGGTGGGCTTTATTCTGTGGCCTACACTGATGTAGTTCAGCTCTTCTGCATCTTCCTGGGACTGGTAAGTTTGTCTTTTTTTTCCTTTCTTTGTTAAGGATCTTGCCCTGAGCATCATGACGATTGCTGAGACCTATTACCCAGCTTTGATTCTGGAACTGTGTCTTCACTGAAAGTGTGGAGAAGCAATATCTCCACTCATAGAGCCCTGACTTTAAAGAGTCTGCGTTCACATCAGTGTACAGCCTGTGCTTTGACAGTAATGCTGACAGAGAGACCCAATTCTTTGGCTCTTTTTCCAACCAGTCTGATAGTGCAAACACTCTTGTAATTTTCCTGCTGAGTATATATCTAACTCAGGATGGGACTGGAGGATTTTCCTTCCCTATCTGTTCATAAAACTGTGTCACAGGCACTAGAAGGAGGTATTAGATATAGGAAGCAGTTGGTAGATCAGTCCAGAAACACTGGCATTGGACCTGCAGAGCTGGTACTCTCCTGCTTTTCTCTCCTGTAGCTTACTCACACAGCTTAGTTAACCTCCTGCTTTAAATCACCTTCTTGTTTTTTCTCTCATTTCCCTCCACTGTCCTTGGAGACCATAGTACAGGAGGTCTCACCAGAAGACCTTGCTGTTTGAATATGGTGGTATGAATATCCCCTCATCAGCTATCAATGATATGATAGTGGGTAGCCTTTTCTTTTATTTACTGCAGTTCTTTAAGCCCTACTTTGAAAAACATCAGTGCAACGGGGCTCAGATCACAAGGGTGCAGTCAAAGAAGCTGCTGCCTTTGTTTGCCAGTGGCAGTTAATAGATGGTCACAGCTGTGCAGAGATTTGAGACAAGCTGAAATAAATGGTGTGGCTCAAGGTGAAGGAACTGAATGGCACCTTGGGGACCTGGAGTTGTTTCTCTGTTTTCACCAGAGTTCTTGTGCAGCTCTAGGGAAATTGCTTCAGCTAGAGCTCACACAGGTGGTTACTAACCAACCCTGTGTGTGTCCTCACTCTGTGGCATCCTACTGGGAGGCCTATGGCCTTATTTGCAGAAGTGCTATGCATTCCCTGTTGTAACTGACTTCATGGGAATGATGCTAAATACCCTGAAAAAAACAAATCCAAGTTCCAGCTGGCCACCTCAAATGAGAAGTTAATCCAGATCTTCTTTCATACCTTTGTCCTTCATCTGCACAGTGGGGAAAATACTGTCTCCTTCCCTAACATGCATGTTACTATTTGTGCACCATTCAGTTTCTACAGATGGTGTGCATTACAGAAATTCCCAAAATTGTAGATAAATCAAAATACAAAAATGCTTTTCCAGTGAGAACAACTCATGCACTGCTAAAGACCCTGACCCAGTGGGAATAAAGTGTGATCCTTTATTAAAGGCAACATGAACCTGACAGGGAGGAGAAAGCAAATGAAGATTGTATAGCAGTCTTCCAAATGATTGGATCCGTAGCTCTAGTAATGTTCTTTTAATTCATGTTGGGCTTTTTTATGTAATTTCCCATTTAAAATAAACAGCAATAATGTCATGTAGAAGGAACTATATTCATAACCTTAAGAGTCATCAGTGGGGCTGGAAGCCTCAGATAGCATCTAAATGGTCATGCTCTGGGTGAGGCAGTTTTAGATGAGATGGGACACTTTCATAGTAAGTGTCACAGCAGAATATGTCACAGGCTCAGGTATCCCAGCTTTCCCTCCAGGCTCTGGAGTAGTTTGTATTCCCACTGGCACAGAGCTTTACTGCTCAGTCCTCTAATGTCTGTTCCTCTCCTACTCCTTACCCAAGAGAACATGCATGTTCTAATCACTTCCATTCACTGCCCTGGCTCCTCAATTCAGCCACAGCTTCTTCCTTAGGCTTCCATAACATCTACCCCAGCCACTCCACAGAATTCCCTGGCTTTGTCCTTAAAATCCCATGTAGACTCTCTCCTTCCCTCCTCACTCTTCTGTATCCACATCTGGAATTCTCAGCTCTTTGTCTTTACCTTGCCCAGTGAGTCCTTCTCTGATCCTGCAGCATATTCCCACTGTTTACTGACTCTTCATCTCAGCTATGTTACTAATTCCCCATTCTAAACTCTTTGTCACTTGTAGAAGTCCTTTGTTTTTTGTTTTGTTTGTTTTTTTTTTTTTTTTCTGGTTTCCAATCCCATGAAGTCCAGGTCTTTCTAGCTACCTGCTACTTCTACCTCTAAGCTTCAAGTCCCAACATAAAGTCAGAGTCTCTGTTTCTTACATGAGCCTTGGTTTTATTTGCCCTCCATTAAAACAGTCAGTCTTCTACTCCCGTTAGAAAGGGATCAATGAAAAATTTGGTCTATGTCTATATTAAGCAAGTTAAACAGTGCCAAGGTGAAAAGACAGGGTCGTCTATTGTGCTTAATTGTTAACGCAGTCCTGACACTGTTTTGGCCCACGCCAACTATTATTTTCCCAGATAATTCCCAGGAACAGTTCAGGGCTGTCTTTTTTGTCAGGGAAAGGAGTCTAGATGTATGGATGTAAGTGATGACATGTCAGTGAACTGCAAGCCCAGAGAAAGTGTCTTGACTTGTTTTATTTACTAATGTAGAGGTAGTTCTTGAGACCACAAAGAGCTAGGTTACTGTCGGGATCTGGAATGCATTACAGAAGCTCATAATGCATTTGCAATACAATACCTATTAAATCCTGGGCTCTGGCATGAAGGCTGCAGATGGACCTTTAGAAATTTACCTTACTGAAAATATCAGCTGACTATGGACGATCTACAGCTCTTCAGAAGATCAGCACTTGGTCATGTTTGAGATTTGAGATTCACAAACAAGAATAAAAAAATCCATTTTACGTCCTTGTTCCCAATTAATTTCTCAACAAGAAGAGTATTAATGTCCACTAATTTTGACAATATGTTTATTTTTCCCTCAGAATATCTTGGACATAGTTGAAACATTTTGGTGATCTTTCCCAGAAAAGCCCAAGCAGACAGTGAGGAGGGAATCTTTCTGTAGAACCTTCTGGCAGAAACTGTCTTTGGGAAGGGTTTCTTAACTGATTTTTTGGCCTAGATCAAAAACAAAGAGATTGAAAATAGTCAATAGCCCAGACTGAATTCACCCTCCAGGAAGAAAAGTGCTTTAGCACTGGGCTACTGGGTGTTCTGGAGCAAGAGAGATGGGGGTTCCCCAACAGCACCCCTCTCTTGTCCTGATTTAGTTTTGTGTTGAATTAAAAACAAATTCCCATGCCTTCGGGTGTGTGTGATGTCTCATGCCTGTATGCTGGCAAATCCTGATGCTATTGCATGCAAGTTTGTGTGTAGATGTTTCTCTACAGTGTGGCCCATGAAATTGTGTAAAGAATACATGTGGAGTTTAGGGAAAATGAAATGAAGATGTATAAATGTGTCTTTCCTGCTGATTCTGTGATTTACACTGATTAAATCTCTGCTCATACTCACACTCTCCAGGACAGAGGTAAGCTATCCATTATCAAGCTCTCTGGATTCAGAGATGTTCCACCAGCACATAACCCGACTTTTCTGCAAGTCAGCTTGGCAATTTGGCATTTGATCTGTAGCATGCAAGAAGAAATAAAACAGATCAATGTTAATATTAAAATTTCACAGATTTGGAGTGCCTTCTTTAGACCCGAACAAAGTGTTTCTCTTTGGTTACAGTGGATCAGCGTACCCTTTGCAATGTCCCATCCTGCAGTGACAGACATTGGGTTCACAGCTGTGCACCAGGTGCACCAAGCACCTTGGCTTGGATCTATCAACTCACTTGACATTTACACATGGCTGGACAATTTCCTTTTACTGGTAAGTGATGGCTTGTATGAAGGAATGAAGCATTTAAGCACTCACACTGTGTTACTGTGACAGCTGAAAATAATAGTCTAGTTAAGAGTTTCCAGCAAACGGAAAACTTTTACCCTCTTGACTTCTGCTCAGTATTTCTGCGCATTTGAATGATTTCAGTGAACTATCAGTAGAATACTGTAGCGTAGTATAACTGTCAAAGTCAGCATTGCCAGGAATGCAATTTAAATATCATCAGGCTGAAAGAGTTGACTTATGCTAAAATTAATTAAAAGTGTGAAGCTAATATTTAACTGATGTCATAGTTGGCAGAGGAATTTATATATTGCAGAATGCAATAAATATGTTATACAAATTATTAAATATGCCTTAGGTATAGGTGATGTAGGAAAAGCTTTGCAGAGATGGATGGATGGATGGATGGATGGATGGATGGATGGATGGATGGATGGATGGATGGATGGATGGATGGATGGATGGGTGAATTCATATATGCATGCATGCCAGAATGAACTGAGGGCTTTTGTTATTTAGTACCTATGTACTACACATGGGATTGGTGGTTATTAAGTACTTTCCATTAGAAGATCTAGCAATACATGCTAACATTTTCTATTCTGTGTCCCTGAGCAACTTTACACTGTTTTCATCATGTACTTTGTGATTCCTGTCTTTGTGGTTTGTTGTTTTTTTTTTTTTTTTAATCTCAATCAAAAATCTTCAGAGTTTTCTGATAATTGGGCTATTAAAATAGATTGTTTTATCCATCTTAAATTCTTTAGAGATTCTCAGAGAGCCAAAGCATGACATTAGCTCAGGCAGCTATATTCTGTCTGGTGAGCCAGAAGGTTTCATCTCTGCTGATGACCAAAGCAAAGCTCTGCTGCTGCCAAATTGTGACACATTTTCTTTCCATCTTGTTTGTTTCATTATAGCTCAAAAAATATGCACGTGCTTGGAAAGCTTTGTTAAAGGAACATTACTAAGGCTGCAAAGGAAAACAGTCATAAATAACAGGTCAAAATCAGAGCTGCCTGTGAAACATTCATTTAGTCCCTGTGTGTGCATGAAACATGTATGAAACACCTGTATACACACTATTTGGTCCAAATGCCTCCTGCCTCATTTAGTGTGTAAAACTGGACTGTGCACTTTTAGTGAGCAATTTGCTTTATTTTCTTTCCATGCTGTTTAGTCACAGGCAGATATTTACTTAGTGGAAACTATTCAAATCCTGCTCTAGGGACAGAATTGTCAGCACTTGAAGTTTTGGCCCTTGATAATACTCTTTTGTGTCATATCTTGCAAACATAATTTTAAGTCTAATCAAGATTTTCACTGTTTTATATTCCAAACGAGAGAAGGGTTGCTACCTTTAAAGAAAACTTTCTTTTACTGCTTTGTCTTTAATTTCTGTTGGTATCACATTTGTTTAAGATGGTGGGAAAATAATTTTTCAGATTCTTGTGTTCAGTGTATACAGAAAGCATTGCGTTGTTTAGATGGACACATGCATTCATAAAGGAAGATAGAATCCTAACAGCTTCTAATCTAATTTTGGCAGGAGGGAGGGTACTGGAGGCCAAATTCTTCAAATATTAAATATTACAATAGTATTTTATAACCTTTCATAAGGCTTTATTAAGTATTTATATAACTCACAGTACTTAGGGATTACAGAGACTGTGAAAGTGCAAAGTGTTGTTGCTAATTGTACAAAGGATTAACTTGTGTAAAACAATGGGATTTATGTAGGTTTACAAAGGTTTGACATTGCTTGTGAGAATGAAAGTTACAACTATTATTGACTGACTGATATTCAATAAATAAATGAAAAAGCAGCAATGCAACATTCAGCATTCAAGTGATGCTTCTATGTGCTCTCTATATGGAAACAGCAAAAAAATCCAGAGTTATGTCCCAGTGACGGGATGTTGCCCATTGTGTTTGCAGACATTAGGAGGAATCCCATGGCAAGCATATTTCCAGCGAGTTCTTTCCTCATCTTCTGCCACATATGCTCAAGTTCTGTCATTTCTGGCTGCTTTTGGGTGTCTTGTGATGGCTCTTCCTGCAGTACTCATTGGTGCAATTGGAGCATCTACAGGTAAATGATTCAAAATTAGTAGTGCAATAAATGTAAAATGAATAGTACAATAAAAGTGCGAAAACCCTACAAAGCTTCTGTTAGATATAATCTAGCCAGATAATATCATTAATCAACTCATGACTTCTTCAACAGGAGACTACACTTCAAAAATAATATTATAGAATATTTCTCCCAGGGGAAATTACTCCTACCCCAGTGACTGAGATTAACTCATTTTGCACATTCCAGGTATCTGCATATGTAATATTTCTATTTAATGTTTCAGTTAGGTTCTGGAACTTTTATTTGATTCTAACAGTAATAGCGACAAGTGGCTGAGGGAACTGGGGTTGTTTAGCCTGGAGAAAAGGAGGCTGAGGGGACAGCCTTATCACACTGTACAACTGCCCGAAAGGATGTTGTAGCAAGGTGGGTGTTGGTCTCTTCTCCCAGGTAACAAGTGATAGGATAAGCGGAAATGTCCTCAGGTTGCGCCAGGGGAGATTTAGATTCAATACGAGGAAATATTTCTTCACTGAAAGGGTTGTCAAGCACTGGAACAGGCTGCCCAGGGAAGTGGTTGAGTCACCATCCCTGGAGGTATTTAAAAGACGTGTAGATGTGGTGCACATGGTTTAGTGGTGGACTCGACAATGTTATGTTAACGGTTGAACTTGATGATCTTAAAGGTCTTTTCCAACCTAAATATTTCTAAATGATTCTATGATTTATCAGGAATTTTCTTGACCAAAACATTCTTGTCAAGGTCTTTGTCACAGTGAGAGTGATCCCCATCACAGTGATCATATAGCTAAACTGTTAGAAATGTTCTGTTAGAAATGTTTAATGCATGGGTTTTGAGTCTGTAATCCAAGAGAATAGTTAAACCCATCACAAACAAACACAGATCCCAGACTTGTTTTATTGAGGAAAGCGACATTTATGAGCAATGCAAAGATTTATTATTAAACTTCCTACTGGATAACCACAGAATGTGATCAGATTAGCTTAGAGATAAGGAAAAATACTGAGCAGAATTAAATCTGCCTACCAGAAACCAGTGGGGCCTTTCTGAAATGCCGTCGGTCTGGCCCTAGTAACAGTTTGGTCATCGCACGTGAATGAAAATGTGGCAATAGGAATAGCTCACTACACATGAAGTCAAGAGGTGCTGTAGCTGATGACTACTAATTTACTAATAACATACCGGTGTCCATATTGCAGCCTGGAATGAGACTGAGTATGGTGTCCATGACCCCATGACCGAAAAAGAAGCAGATATGATTTTACCGATTGTGCTCCAGTACCTTTGCCCAGTCTATATCTCGTTCTTTGGCCTCGGTGCTGTATCTGCTGCTGTGATGTCGTCAGCTGACTCTTCAATTTTATCAGCAAGTTCCATGTTCGCTCGGAACATATACCAGCTTTCCTTTCGGCAAAATGTGGGTGACATTTTCATTTTTACTTTTAGAGAAAATTTTAGGTGGGACTTTAACTAGCTGATGCATAGACTGTAATTGCATAATGAAACACCTCTTTCACGTTCCTGCCTATGACTAAAAAAAGTATAGCATTTCATTCCTAACACTATATTGAATAAACTGAAAGTCATAAAAATATTTATGGCTGTGCCTGATGATAGCTCAGGGGATGCAGCTTTTAAGAGTTCTCATGGCATTGAAGTTTATCCAAACAGTTCCTAATTATTGTTGCTATCATAAGTTTTACTTAAAACTTTAAAAAAATGAGGCATCTTTCTGAATTATTGATTTATCGGGGAATCATTTGACAACAGAATGAGCTACTGAGTTGGAGTTTTTCTTAGAAAATGAAGAAGAAATTCAGATACTGACAGTTTTTTTTTATGGTTGAGCCATACGGTGCTTTTATCTAAAAGTTATTTCTAACACTGCTGTTGGTTTTTGCTTTGACACATTATCGAAATTTTCCTTATGCTCAAAGATTAATGACTTTGGGAATGGCAGCCATAACCCTTGGGGGTTTTTTTCTCTGCACTTGAGATGGAGATAGAGATATTTTTTGGTAAATATTAATGAATACGTAATACAAAATTTCCTTTTACAGTGCAGTATTTTATATCAAATGTGTGCATGAATGTATGCATACATATATTGCCATGAAAAAACCACCTAACACTGCCCTTTTTTTTCAGGCTTCGGACAGGGAAATCGTGTGGGTCATGAGAATCACTGTGTTTCTGTTTGGAGCATCAGCAACAGCAATGGCACTGCTAGCTTCATCAGTATATGGCCTGTGGTACCTCAGCTCTGACCTTGTTTATATCATCATATTCCCCCAGCTCCTGTGTGTGTTATTTATTAAAGGAACCAACACCTACGGTGCCATTGCAGGATACTTATTTGGCCTCATTCTCAGAATAACTGGAGGAGAACCATACCTCTACCTTCAGCCCTTGATCTACTATCCTGGCTGCTATCCAGATGAAAATAATATCTATATCCAGCGATTCCCATTTAAAACACTTGCTATGCTCACCTCCTTCTTTACTAACATTATAGTCTCCTACTTAGCCAAATACTTATTTGAGAGTGGGACTTTGCCACCAAAGCTGGACTTTCTTGATGCTGTCGTTGCCAGGTACAGTAGAGAACACATGGACAAAGCAACTCTTGTAAAAAGTGACAATATTGTATTAAATGAACTTGCACCTGTGAATCCACGACACAGTCTAACTTTGAGCTCAACTTTCACAAACAAGGAAGCCTTCAATTATGTTGATTCTAGTCCAGAGCTGTCCAACACTGAAGATAATTAAAAAATCTGGTAGCCACAGACAAAGTCATGTGAGGCAGGATATTCTACAAAGAATAGTAAGAGGCATTTTATAAGAAGAAGAGCAAGAACTGGGAATAAAATGCCACTGCACAATTCTTTAAGTTGTTTCTATGAACAGGAGCATCCTATGGGAGGAACTCTTTTCTGTTATTACCTAACATGTTGGATTAAATCATAGAGTGTTTACCAAAAGATACACTCAGATCCCATTCTTTCCACCCAGAACTATATACCGTATAATTAAAAAAGTATTTACAATTGAAAATATATGTAGCAGAAAAAATGCAGCAGTTATTTAACTAGGACTTCATATGAAGAGATTATAATACAGTGACTCTGAAATACTATCTGTCAACATTTTATTGGCATTAAGTGAAAATATATTGTCACAGCTATAAGTGATTTATTACTAAAGAGCTAGTTGCTTAAACAAAGACAGATAGATAACTTCCCTAGGGTTTTGGTCTGGTCATTTTATTCCTCTTAAAGAAATTCAAATAATACAAATCTAGTATTTTATTATTTTTATAAGACAGAAAAATGCACAAATAATAATAAATTCCTTATAGGAGTGCTAAACATCATATACTAATTAAAAAAGTTAAAATGAAGTGACCAGTTTAAAATTATGTTATACCTAATACAAGATGACCTTAAGCAAAGTATGTTACTATAGGTGTTCCTTTTTACTGTGGTTAGTGGCTGTCATCAATGGAGAATAACAAAAATTTTAAAGCAATAATTGGAGTTGAAACTCAGCTTGTAAAAAATGACAGAACTCTTATAAACGAAATAGAACTTTTCAATGTTGAGAAAAGAAACCTTATCTTGACTTATCAAAATGAACACTAAGCAAAGCAGCCTGACATGAAGTAACTGCAACAATGGAAAAAATATTAAAAAGTAAGGAGAGTCAAGAAGGCTTGAAACAACAGATGCGAAGGATTTCCATGGGGAAAATTCCCATTTTTCAGTTAATAAAAAAAGTATTCTCAAAGACATCAAAAAATCTTTTGGGTTGGTCTTGCTGGGATTACTATGGAAAGTTTAGATTTTCCATGGAAAATCCCATTTCCTCAAAAATGAGATTTCCCATGGGGAATACAGTCTCGCTGGATGGTTTTCCACATCTGTAAGTGTCTACCTCCAAAAGCAGCAGCAGCTCGGAGGGGAACTGAAAGGAAAGCCGAACCCACGGGCGTAGTGAGAGGCACGGCAGTGTCTTCCACTACATGCTGGACTCCGTCACGGTGCCGTCGCGGTGACTCTGCGGAGCACCAGCAGCGGCCAGGAGCAGACGAGATGCCAGTCGTGAATGAGAACGCTGGCCAGAAGCAGCAAAGCAGGGAGATGAGGCCTCTTCCGACTCTGCCCGGGCCAGCGGGGAACATGCAATGTCGTTTCCATTTGCCCACAGCCGAGATGATTGTGTCTGTCCCCACTGGTACGTGCCTTTCACAGAGGGAGATCCAATATCTAGATTTCTGTACGATTAAGAGTTCTGCTTTTTAATATCTACGCATGATGCAAAATGTTCAACTGAAATCCAGGTATCCTCCTGTTGCTGGTCACCGGTGAAATTTCTCCTTTAATGTTCACAGCATGAGGGGCTATACTGGAGGATAGGAGATGTAAGAATAGGTTTTGCTGCTAAAGGAAGAAGCCATCAACTTGTGTATTCAATGTTGACATAAACTCTTACAAGGTTGAATCCTTAGACATGTTTTTTGCTCCTTTTCTGGAGTTTTAACAGCATATATCTATTTTATGCATAGAGAAAATTAATTTTAGAGATGTTGATTGTTTTCTCCATACACTGCGTTTAAAGATAACACCGCATCTCAGTTCTGAATATGCATTTTGAACTATGATACTACTGTGCTAACAAATATTGAGTGTGCTCTGGGTGGAGGGAATCAAAGTCAGAATCTGCACCAAAAAAACAGATGACCCAATATAGCAAATACATTAAAAATTCCTACGGGGTGAGTGAACAAACCACTGATGAAATTCAGGGTGTGGAGGATCTCACAAACTGGATGCGAGCTCAGTGGTATTCATTCCCTCACGATCCATGGAACAGAGAAGAGGAAAGAGATTGTAATAAATAAAGACAGGGGAGAACAGAGCCACCGCTGAATTATTATCCATTTCTGGCCCAAATACACTAGCCTGAATCCCTTATTATGAGAGAATATCGAGCCACAGTTTTGCCTGTTTACATAGCCAATGCTTTACACTGCAGTTCCAAATTGTTAGAGGATCTCATTTTACAGCCACCTGTAAGTCTCCCTGAAAATTTCCTCTTACTTTAGTTTTGTATAGGAATTGCTAGAATTTTACTATGAGAAGCTAGTGACCAGATACCTTGCATATAGCAGCATTTCTATATTATTTATTTCAAAATTCCCAATAATAGGAGAAGAAGGAAAGGAGAAGGGGATTCAGCTGGATTCATTTAAGAAATTTTGATTGAAAACTAAAAGTCTTTCCTTTTCCTTTGTATTCCCATGTTGCCATGAAAACACGCAAGTTTTTTAAATGCTCAAAATTAGAAAGGTATGTGAAAAATTAAAATGCGTTAGTCAAAAAATTTCAAACCAGATGCTTTCAATATTATCAGAATATTTTATACTGTCTATCCTATCAATTATTTTTCTGAAATCACTGTGATTTCACAAAGTATTCCTGCTTAGATGGAACTGTGCATTCTCTAGTGGAAAGTGGTTCCAAGACAGTTTTCCAGTCCTCTCTTCAGACTGAAAGTTTATTGCACTTTTACAAGTAGCTCACCGTGGAAGCTTTATCATGCAAAGGAGATAAGCGGCACTGAAGACTCTTCATCATGCGACTGTGACTCTGCTGTCCACGTACCAAGTCTCTGCACGTGTCTGTGTGAGTCCAACAGCCGCTGCAGCGGTCGCGGTGGTGGGCTGGGCAGCGGGCAGGACGACTACAAAAGCCAGACCAAACAGCCCCATACAAAGTCTGTTTACACGACTATTGCCTTAGTTCAGCTATCCTACCATTAGATTTATACAAAGCCATTCATGTAACCAAAGGCCATATCTATGATTGATAGCTGGGGGGAAAAAAAAAAAAAAGGAAAAAAAAAAGATAACAAAATACAATCAAGTTACTTCCACAAGCGAAATGCCAACAGGACATTATTCTTGCAGTAGACTTTATTTTCATGGGAATCATCAGATGCTCCTTCTCCACTTGTGCAATCTGTGGACAGTAGTACTGTGCACTAAATTGGATCTATAATCAGTGAAGCAAACAGCTTATTTTCAGCCACTGAGGTTATTGTTTCTAAGCCTACAATTTCCAGATAAAATATTCATATCACAATCATACATTTTACTTTCATATTCTTAACATTTGTAAATAACACTTATTTGACAGAGTTTTTTACTTCCTTTGCATGAGATGTGTTCATAAAATCAAGGTTAATAACATAGCTGAGATGTCAAAAAAAGTTACAGTTTCATCTATATTTGTCCATATGAGATGGTCTATGTATTATAAATAAAACATACTTTTGTGAACCTGAACTGAATGTAAACATTAAGTGGATCAAATAAAGTAAAAGATTTAGTCTTTTATTTTCATATAGTACAATCTAGGATTTCAAATGTAAGTATCATAGGAAAAAACTGTTATTCATTTTTCCTTCTGCCCTTCAAGCATATTTGATCAAGTACCACGTGCAGTTAGACAGTAAGTTATTGTAAGTCTGCTGTTAATCAGGGCAGTATTTGTGGCTGTTGTTAAAAAAAAAAAAAAAAGTATATTTTTGTCTGTGTCAGAAATGTTATATTAAGACTATACGTAACAAAGCAGATAGGAAGTATAATATAGATATATATGTTTTAACTTTATTTGTATTGTATTCAATAGTGCCCATGAAATTCAGGAAAATACTGTCTGGTTTTGGGTCTGTTTTGTCCATCTATTAAAAATAAAGACGTTTATTTTATTACCACTCAGCATCACATGAGGTTTTGTGTCACAGGCACAGCCCCAGAGAGGTGAGGTGGCCCCGACAGAGCAGGAATTGATCCTTGCCCTGGGACATCAGTGGGCCACCCCATGGCTACAGCCCTCTCCCAAAGCCAGTCATCCTGGGCATTGCATGTGTGTTATAAATACAATTATTTAGAAAGCAAAATATTAGCTGACTGAAAAAACTAAATCTGTGGTTTTATCCTCCTAGTAAGAGTTTGACTTCCTAGTAAGAGGAGTTTGACTTCCACTGAAGTCAATGGAACAACACAAACGGGTGGCTATCCAAGTGCTACTATGATGACACATGACAAATATACAGTGTGTTTATCCTTCAGATGCTTTGCAAAAATATGTGGGCAATACTGTCCACTCATGGATGGGGAAAATAATGTTTGTTTTCCTGTGTACTGAGTTGCTCAGTCATGGAGTGAAGCACATGCTGGGATTTCCAAACAGTCAAATATCACAGACATTTCCTTAAGGCTGTAATGCTCTGGTCTCCCTTGCAATTTGGGAGTTTGATCCTCATTCACACCTTTGAAAAACTGAAGCATGTTTTTAGACAAGAGCCCTGATATCAAGTAACTTGTATCTCAGAAAGAAAGCAAGTCCATAATCCTGCAGAGTGAAAAAGGCAAGAAAAAAGCATAAAGTAAGGGAGTGCTGATGGTTGCTGTGGAAGCATTAATGAACTGTTTTGCCACATGACATCACAGGTAAAATGCCACGTGCAAGCCGGCTGTGGCCAAAACCACAGCAAAACCCTACTTAGGAGACTCTATTTGGGAATCACTTGAAACTCTTGGGGTTTTTTAGTAATAATAGCTTATTTTTGGTAAAGAATAATCTAGAAAAATCTTTTCTATATTTTTCTGTCAAATTCACAAAAGGGACAGTTAGCATAAAAAGAAACAGTGGAGAAGTAAATAGGTGGAGAAAGAAATGAAGGTCTTTAATGTAACCATTATTAATCAATATTGAATATCGAACCAATCACTTTCCACCATAGCCACACAAGAACTGATGACGAGTGAATACCAAGAAATTACATGACATGTATGAAGCCTCCCTCTCTTTAAATTACATTTAGTTGCCAAGTGCAGTTTAAAATCCACAAAAATGACTGAAAAGACGACAACTACTGAGTAGATTTCCCCTTGAAAAAGGTGAACCTGGGTAAATCCAAATGCCACGACCTCCTCCCAGCTGGGATGGTATTAGACTGCCCCTGGAAAGATTGAAGAACAATTACACCAGGCTTGGGAGACACTTCAAAGAAGGCTATGTTAACACATGAAACCATGCCCAGAATTGTTCCCAGGCCAATAAGGTGGTCTCCAGCCTGCTTTTGGCTTGAGTCAAATGTCACTCTCCCAAATAGGCACCCAGGCACAGCTTGGGGGCTGGATGGCTCCAAGGGCTTCTGAGGTCCTTTCCCAACAGGAGCTCTGCCGAAACAGACAAAGCAGTTCTCTACTCCTGACCCAGCCTTTTGGGCTGCCTTGGGGGTCCAAGGAGAGAAGCTGACACTTAGCAAACATGACTAATCTCATCCTAACACACACATTACCGTGAGATGGGTCACGCCATAGAAATGTCCATACAGATGCTTAAACATCTGCAAGATGTGGCCCACTCCTTTCTCTTGCTCCTCAAGAAGGAGGTTGAAGCCATGAACAAGATCACACCGAACAGATAGCTGAGGAATTTGTCTGGGGTGGGGGGGACAGGGGTGTGGGGTGGGGTGGAATTTGGGGTGTTTAACCTTTAGGAAGCATTCACAAGAAGAGCATAGTTCTCAGGGGGGAGTTTGTACCTGGCTGTGTGGAGAACTGGCCTTCTGCAAGCGAGACTACAAATACAGATAAAGGAAAACATCAATCTAGATTGCAAGGGATGTGTTGTGACTGTGAGACACATGTGCTATATCCATAATTGTTAATAAATAACAGATGAAAATCAGTGTAAATGAGGCTGTAGTCAGGAATAAGGCTATGCTAGAGTAAGGTAGTAGACAGCAGGTGAAAAAAAAAAAAAAAGGAAGTACTTCTGTGGATGAGAGAATTGATCAGGTTGGCTGTATTTAATTGATTTGGGAACCATTCTGAGGTCAGAAGGAAATAATGAAGTTGTTTGTGGACTAATGCAGGAAACCTGAGTAATAAGGTGGAAGAACTAGGACTACAGAAGCAAGATGTGAAAACTTCTAGTACAAACTACAGGAAAAATGACAGAACAGCTCTCAAGATGGAAAAGGATTTGAAATGACCATTTGATGAGGTCATACACTGGGTTATGTAGGCCTAAAGAATTTAACTTGAATGTGGACAGATACACTTTTAATACTATTAGTGAAGGAAATACTACTTCAAACTGCATGATCATGTAAAAATTTGAAATGTGGTAAAGACTAGGGAAAAAGACTGTTGTATTGGCAGTAAATAAGTAGTTTTAGTCTTGTGGTTAATATATTACTTTCTCAAACAGTCAATAAACAGGCAAGAAAGACTTTCAACTTTGAGCTTGGTGCATAAATACAGCACTAGAAAGTATCTAGTGACAGAAAATAATCTTGTATTGAAAACTGAGAGTGACTAGATTACCTTCATATACAAAGAACAGTAAGAGGAGGTACTTAAGCTGAAAATTAATTCAAAGGCAAATGGGTTTACAATACCATAGAATAGATTTTGATTGGGAATTAAATGCAAATTCCTCATCACGTTTGAAGTTCTGAAATACTTGGAATATTGTAGACAAAAAGCAGAAGTAGTGTTAAAATAGGTCTTGTGAATAAAACAGCAACGATGGTGAGGTCTTTGGTGTGTCATAGTCCTATACCCGATGTTGCTCCTGATCCTAATATACATCATCCTAGGAGTCTAAGCACACTTGAAGTAAGTTTAAGTGGTGTCCTTTAATGTAAAATGACAGTAGTAAATCAATTCTTAATTATTCCAAGTAAGAGTTTTCCATAGTTATGACTGAAGCACTAAAATTCATTTACTTATTTGAAAATGGACAAGGACATTTTTTTGCCAAGCTACTAATGTATTTCACTGCAAGCAAAAGGAATTGAATATATCCTGCCAATTCACTAATGGAATATAATTATTATCTGCTTATTAATAACAGAGATTAGAGTGCTGCACTGCACTTTGTGTTACTCAGCAGTTCACATCCATCAAAGCATTGCACACAATTTTCAGAAGGACTTAAAGGGAAAGATGGTCCCAAAAATGGTGGGTCACTGGGGGCATGCTATTCAAGGAATGAGCAGCTCTAGTTATCTGGCTTCTCATGATTTCAGCATGATTAGGTAAAACACAGATTATCTTTTATTGATGATATTTTGATGACAGAGATGCCCACTTTATGTTAGCTATGCAAATAACCTCTGCAGAGCCATGACTGTGAAAGGCTTGTCCTCCTTTGAGGTTGGGCAGGAGCATGGCCATGCTGAGAGGAATTAAAAGATGCCTGATGCCCACCAGCCTCTAAGTCTTGCCTCTGTCTCTCCCTTCTTTGGTGTTTGTGTTGTTCTGGACTATGGTCAAGCATAGTGTTTAGGTCTGTCCTCATCATGACAGTGGGTTGTCTGGGTAGGAACTTGCATATAGCCTACACACCAACAGTCAGACAATAACGGGAGAGAGCCATCTTTAATAGATGATATCATCCCACAGAATCACAAAAAAAGCAGTGAAGTTCTGCTGGGTTCAATTATATGTTATATTAAACAGTTCCACAAGCCATCCTTTTAACAAATTTTAAAGTTTTCTTTTTCTCTGCCCTATACACCAGCACCTTTAATCCAGAGTATCTTAATTTGCCTTCCTCCACAGTGTGGTTTTCCCACACCATTAATGATCAACAGCTACTGTTGCCATCACATGAAGTGAAAGCTTAGTTGCTCAGCGTGTAAGAAGAATATAAGTAGCTAGCAATAAAAAAGATTTCTAGTCTCTACAGTTTGTTTCTTACACACAAAGATGAGGTGACAGAAATATGACAGAGTAGTAAACAGAATGCAAGAGGTAATATAATTGTTCAAGACTAGTATAATAGAGAGTTACGCAAATTTATTGTTCTGTGTGACTGTGAAAAAGTATTATGTTCCAGCAAAGCAATGAACCAATAAATTCTTCTGTTTCATTCTTGTTTCCTGCCCATCAGGAAAGTAATATTTGAAGAGATATTGTTCTTTTGTATCAGTTATCTGTAGTGCAGGATATTGTTAAATTTACATTTTAATTATTCTCTCAAAACCATATACTAATTGCAGATTAGTGATAAACTTCAGTAACTAGATGTAAGACAGCCAATCTAAACAGGACAAATTCTATTCCTTAAGTTTTAAGCTAGGCTATTAAAATGAATTATTCCATCTGTATAAAGCTACATCAGGTTCTGGCTTAGTAACAGGAAAGAAAAATAACTAAGGATCCTAGTTCGGATGGGAGATTTTTTTTACTCCAGGTAACTGCTAATAAAAATGAAAATGTCTGGAAAATTGTCTTATACAGCCTCTGGACTGTAGCCAGAAGAACATGAACATCCTTCCTGGTATCACACATGTGAAACACACTGGGGAGAGAAATCAGCTGCACATGTGGAGGCAGAAGTTGTAGAAAAACTTATCTCAGGAGACAAGGAAAGAAAGATTTCGACCCAACGAGTTAAAACTCTAGTCATCCAGAAATGTTGTAGTAGCGACTGCCAAAGTCTGATTGGTATTCCTCTACTGCATAAATTAATATGATATTTTCACAGTGTCTGATATTTGTTTATGCACTCACTACAGCAGCTATCCATGTAATGAGTCCGCACTGAAGAGCAAGCACAGTTACCGCATTTTAGGTTTGAAAAACTACTTCATATTTTCCATCTGTCTAAAATCCAGTGTGCTACCTCTGGTGAAGTGTCCTCAAGGATTTCACTTGATCAAAATTGCTCACAACATAATGGAAATGTCTT